AAGGCTGTTTACATCTCAGAACCAGGTACTTCCTTAACGACGGATGGCGGCAGGCCATCACGAGGCTCTGCAGGTCCTCCCACAGGGAAGGATGCCTGGCCTCTCCTGGTCTGACTATTGTCAGCTGTGCCACTGTCTGCTCAGGTTAGCTCAGGAGGAGGAGGCTGCCAGTGTGTGCGCCCGATGTGGGTCTCCGAGAAGGAGTAGCAGCCTCCTCTGTGTTTAGTGCTGAAGCACTCACTGGGCAGGACCCAAGGGCTGAGGTACAAGGTGAGGATTGAACAGGCATTGCTTTCTGTGTGGCAGCCTGGACACCTGTGTGTGCCAGTCTGCAGTAGGTAACCAGGAGCCTAGAGGGGCAGAGACATTGGGGTCTTCACCCCCTTTTCAGTCAGGGAGGCTTCCCAGGGGAGGAGTCTGGCTGCTGGGGGTTAGCCTCCCTGAGAGGCATGTTTCCAAGCCCACAGATCTATCAGGACTTGTGCGCCCCCCCCCCCCAGTCTGAAAGCTTCTAACACAGCCAGATAGATGCTAAAATGGCCAAATGCTAAATACACAGTGGTGACCACCTTGGAGACAGCCTCTGGAGGTGGAGGGTTACTGGATTCACAGACTGGGCCTTAGGCTTCCATGAGGGCTCATCAGGAGCCCTGTATCTCTCTGATCTGGCCTGGTCTGATCTGTGGAAAAATACAGGAGAGATGCTTTTCTGTGCAGGGTTTTATTATTCCTTCCCTTCCTCCAGTATCTCTGAACTCATTGGAGGAAGACCCAAGAAAACCCTGCCTGCCTGCAGCTGCCATGCTGACAAAGCCCCTGCCCCAATATAAATCTGTCTTCCACCTCATGGGTGAGAAGGCAAGGTCTGTTAGCCTGGGCTATTATTTAAAAATGCAAATGAGTAAGCCACAAGTGTGAAAAGTACAGTAGCCAATTATAGATTCCTCCTTCCAAATTCTTGGCAGATTCAGACATTATGAAACCTAGTCTTGGGGCAGCCACTGTTTCTCAGGCTGGCAAGTAAGTTTGTCCAGATTCAAGAGGGAGCAGGGCCTCTATCCTAGTTTTTCCTGAGCCATCACTCCCTGGAGAGGCAGTACTTAAAAACATGGTTTTTAAATGTGTATGGGTGTTTTGCCTGCATGTATGTCCGTGCACATATGCATGCAGTGCCCATGGAGGCCAGAAGAGGGCGTTAGGTATCCTGGGACTGGAGTCACAGATGGTTGTGAGCCACCATGTAGGTGCCAGGAATTGAACTGGGTCTTCTGGAAGAGCAACCAGCCTGCCCCAAAAGCTGGCAGACATCAAGCATCCAAGGAAAGGCAAGACTGAGGGAGGAGCAGAAATTAGCAGGCTGTATACCTCTGAGAGGTGCTCAGGACTGGAGAGACCTTTGTGCTGTGCCTGCGCAGTTCAGGGGTGAGGTGTCACACTGGCGATGACTGTTTGGAGTTGATGGGCAAACCCTGTGGATGGAGCGGGCCTTCTGTGGTGGGTTGAGGTATGTGAGGGAATGGAGCCAGGCGGAGGAGGGTGGCAATTGGGGAGCCCTGTAGAGGAGGTGATATCCTCTTGATGAGTGTGGCCTAAGTGTTAAGGGAAGTCATTAGGTTGGCATCATAGGACTAGCCTGTACCCAGACCTGGAGGCCCCGAAAGGTGTCTGTTGAGGATTAGTGGTCTAGGGAGGTTGGGCTTTGGGTCCTGAGGGGGTTGGCAAGAGGCTGAAGAGAACAGGAGAGCCCAGACTACTGAGGGGCCGGGTGAACTTTGGTGGGGAAAGAAGCGCTCTGTGATTGTGGGGGGGGGGTGGGAGAGCTCCTGGAGGGAACAGCCAGCTTGTCAGCAAAGAGCCAAGGCTCTAGTAGGAAGCTGGGGTGAAAGCCTGCCAAGGGGAGATGCAGGCTGGCTACGGTTACCATGGCAACGGAAGGAGGTAGGCCAGGTGGCAGATGTGGTACCTGAGTGGATTTGGGAGTGAGGAATAGTGAGGGGTCAGCCCCCAGGTGTCCCTTGTTTCTTTCTAGGTTTCAGGGTTCTGGGGTCTGGGGGGAGGACGGGGGGGGGAGGATCCTGATGACAGAGAGGTGTGCTAAATTCAGGGGACAGAGTTCTCCAGTCCAGCAAGCGTCACTCGTGGGATGTTTTTGCCTAGTTCTAGGTGTATTTTAATAGGTTTGGTAAAGGTACAGATAATCAGCCCAGTTAGGTTCCCTCTGCTATTCCGTTCTCTCCAGTGTCCCCAGTGGCTGGCCATGGTGCCCTTGCTTGACTGTTTCCAGATGAAGGAGACACCGTCCCTTCAGCTCCTCTCCATTTCCTGGTGCTCTGGGGCTAATCAGCACCATGGGCTTTACGGGGTCTTTGTTTACAGGGGTGTGTGTGTGGTGATCTTCTGGTCACCCCCATTGTAAGCAGTGGCTTTCTGGGGCCACCTGACCACAGCTGACCCTCAGCACACCAGAACCTCCAGGGATGACCACCACTGGCCTGGGAGGCTGGCCCTGCACAAGAAGCTTCCGTGTGGTCATGAGAGAGAGGCCAGCGATGGACTAAGTCTACTCCTCTGAGGAGGCCCGATTTTTCTGCCAGTGTGTTTTCTGGTTGTGGGATTTCATCTTCTTCATCTTTAAAAGGGGTCGGTACTTGGCACCCTGACAAATGCCGAAGGAATACAAGACACGTTTCTTCACCCTTTGCTGTGAACATGGCGGCCTGTGAGGGGCAAATGTGTCTTGGAGGAAGCTGTGCTGCCTTACCAGTGGGGGCCTTAGGATTTCTAATTATTATGGATTTTAGCTTATAAATTCTCTTTTGTTTTAAGACAGATTTTATGTGTTTTTTTTTAAATTAAGGTGAAAGTTATTTTTTCCTAAATGCAGAAATTTATTTTCACTCTCAGCTACTTATTTGGGTATGTTAATGATAAGTTTATGATCATCACTGTGTTTTTTTTTAATAATGACACATGGGGTGGAAATGTTATGTAAATTAGTATCTGTTCATATCAGGTTGTTTTTGGTAGTCATAAAAACAAATAAATCTCATCTTGGAAGACCTTTAATACTAGCACTGTGGAACAAAGGACAGGCGGGTCTCTGTGAGCTCAAGGCCAGCCAGGGCTACATAGTGAGACCCTGTCTCCAAAAACAAAGCAAAACAAAACAAAACAAAACAAAACAAAACAAAAATCCCATCTTGGAAGACAGTGTGAGAACATTCTAAAGATGGCTGCTAAGTGCTATTAGCGTTTCCCAGGCAGTTTCTGTTTTAGTTGTGTGTGTGTGTGTGTGTGTGTGTGTGTGTGTGTGTGTGTGTGCGCGCGCACGCGCGCGCGTGCACGTGCCCATGCTAGCAAATATCTTGCCACTGAATTACCCAATATACAACCAACTTATCTTACCCTGTCCTCCCAGGCTCCCTGAGTGGCTAGCAAGATTCAGCTCTGTCCAGCCTTCCTGTTGTCCAGACTCACACTCAATGAGTCAGCAGGAGAAATCTTCAGGACAGAGAAGGTCTGCTCCCATCATCCAGATGGGAGAAGGCGGCCGGGGAAGCAGACTCCCGGTGCTTGCCCTGATGAGCCTCACTCACAGGAATCCCATCTTCTGTGAGCTGAGCTGAGCTGAGCTGGGACTGGGCCTCCACTGCATCTGCTTGCCCCTGGTCTACTGTCTGAACCTCCTGATGTCCTTGGATGGAGTGTGGCAAGCAAGTACTTCACATGAGACTAAAGAGAAGCAAAAAGGAAAGTAGGAGGGGATGGGGACAGCGTTTGGAAGAGGCAGAAGCAAAGGTATTTTGGAAGGTGGCCTCCAGTTCTGGGGTAAAGTTACTACTCAAGCATTGCTGGTTCTGTGGGAGTCTCTGGTTGCCCCCTCCCGATCGGAATCATTTGTGATCTGGGTGCATGCTGCAGCCAGAGACACTTGATGCAGAGTACATGAGGCCACATGGGACTGGCGCAGTCTTGGGGAGCATAGGGGCAGACCTGCAGCTGAGGGATGATGTGACAGCTGTCGTAGTCACGGGCAGGAAACACGTATGGACTTCTGCTTCCCTCCAAAGTACACAAATTACCTTGTTTTTCTATTGAGTAAGAAGGCAGCATCTCCCCCCCCCCAGCCCCACTGCTGTTTGTTTGTATGCTTTCAGAGCTGCCCAGGTATCCTCTTGCCTGTGGCCCCTCCCTGCTTCTTCTGCAGACCCCTGTCTCTGCAGCTGGAACTGCCCGTTAACTGTCCTCCCAAGGCCAGAACTTGATAGCCTGTGAAAGCTGCTGGGTCCAGCCTGTGCTCTGTCCTTGCAGGATGAGTGCAGAGAGGGTCAAGCCATTGCTTCCCCCAGGCCGTGCCAGCCCTACTTGGTTAGCAGCAGCTCATTGCTGGAATCCTGGGACAATCATGAAAACATGCTGTTATGTCTGGTTGCTCAGGTTGGGACCTGTATCTGGGGGGTAGATGGACTGTTAAGATGTCTGTCTGTTGTCCATTGTCTATATGTATGGGTGTCTGGAGCCTCTGTTCAAGGTTGTTTCTGGCTAGCAGTGTTGCCATGGGTGTCTGAACCTAGATCTTTGTAGGTTTTTAGTGTTCACTTTGGATAGATTTCTAGAAGTGACTTTACTGAGTTGGAGCATTAAGACCCTAAGGTGTGGCAGTGGCCATGGCTTGCTTGCATTCTGTGCATTTCTTCCCACAGTGCCTACAGGCTGTGTCCCACGCTGGTGTCTACCACAGTGTCCCTCATGCCTGGTTCTGTACTAGAAGCAGGACATTAGGGAACCCAGGGAGTCACAAGGCAGTGTCAGAAACCACTTCTGGGATGGCTTGTGGTCACCGCCTCAGCATGCTACCTCTGGGTAATGACCTTGATTGAGCACATATTTTGTGCTCTTGTGTAAATATTCATGTCCTCATATATAGTTCAGTTAGGTTTATAAGACTGTCATTTGTGTTATAAATGAGGAAACAGAAAAAGGCAAGTAGTTGGCTGAGGTTGCTTGGGAGGAGGTGGGAGGGGAGGGGAAGGAAGAGGAAGGGGGAGAAGTTGTTGAAGGCAGGCAGTAAGGTTCTAGAAGTCTTGTTTAGTATTACTTTTAAAGCTTTCTATTATGGAAAAACCACATGACATTCCAAAGTTGGGAGAGCATAGCTTAATGAGACTCATATGCCTTCCCTGCAGCCTGCATGTGTCCACATGGCCAGTGCCACTTCAGGGAGACCTCCCTCCCACGAGGTTTTTAGTGATCCACCTCACCACCCGGTCTCATCACCTGTAGATGCTTCTGAAAGACAGAGACTAAGACTTGCCCTTCACTCCTGGGAAGTCAATTTGGGAAGGGGTGGGCCCCCAGGCAGTGGGGCTGTATCTCATTCCCCCAGCCTCCATATCTGTGAGGTAAAGTAAGGGGAGGATGTTGCCCAGCAGGGGACTCTGGACCGTTGGAGTGATGGTCAGACACCTGGCTGAATTCGCCGCATCCTGAAGACTTGTTTGCCTTGATGCCTCTTCAGGAGCGCCTGGTGTCTCGGAGAGAGGTGGCCACAGCAAGGGTGCGCACAGTCTCCATGGGATCACAGATGCGTGCCACCACACCAATGAATTCAGATTCTTATTTAAAAATTTTATTTTCAAGTTATTGCATGTGTTTGTTGGTGTGTGTATGTGTTTGTCCGTGAATGCAATGTGGGTGTGCCAGGGAGTAATGCTGAGAATGAGCCCAGCTCTCAGGAGTTGGTTCTCTCCTTGTGGGGTTGTGGGGCCTGAGCATAAGCACCTCTACTCACTGAGCCCCTTAATTAATTAATTGATTGATTGATTTTACCATGTTTACTGAGACAGAGCATGCACGCACGAACATGGTTGTGAGTAAAACAGGGCCTTAAGTAAGTGAGGCTGGCCTTGAACCGATCCTCCTAACTGAAGATTACGGGTCTGTACCTTTGCAGTGGGCTTTGTGTTTACAGGTTTATTCTTTTCCACACTAGTATGGGCTGGCTCAGTTAGCACAGAGTCTTCCACATTGTCATCTGACCTTAATACCCCACTGCTGGCTTTGTGTTTTTCAAAGCCGGTGTTTCCCTGTGGTCCCTTTGCCTTGGGGCATTGTGGTCCCTTCCCTGCACTGGGCCTTTCTGCTGCATGGCTACTTAGGTGTCCCTTCTCAAACAAGCCCCGTGTTGTTCCTATTTGCCACTGTGCCAGGATGCAGAGCGATGGACCCGTTCCTGGAAGGGGTCAATGGAACCCTTGTAGTTGACTCTTGCTCCAGGAAACCCAGCAGCCCCAGTCCCAACCACAAGTGTGCCTTCAAAGGACCCTATGCAGAGCCCCAGTGTCCCTGAGTGTCCCCAAGACATGCCCTGTCCTCCAGACACTCTGCTCTTGCAGCCGGCCACATCCCTCTTCTCCCCCCCGTCTGGTGGGCATGCACTGCTCCTGCAAAACCAGGCCCACAGTCACAGCTCTCAAAGCCTTCTTGCTCTCCCTTCCCGGGGATAAAGCCTGAGCACCCAGCTTGCAGGCATCTGAGCTCTCATCTCAGGGTGTCACTAGGCCGGGGGCTGTCCCTGCCCTTTTCTGTAAGTTCTTTAGGGACATAGGTCACATCTTGTTCTGCTGGGGGCTTTGGCTGCCTAGTATACATTCTAGTGTATAGAAGCATCTTGCCAAGAAATCTTTGGAAATCAGCAGAAAAATAATTTAATATTACAGAAATATGTGAAGTGGAGACATTCCCCACTGTCTCATCTCCCCAGAGTAGACACCATTTCCTTCTGCTTTGCTGGTGGTTTTATTAACTTACTCTTTTTACCCTTCCCTTTCTGGTTCTGTAACACCTATTTTATGCCTTTTAGTGCTTTAGGAACTGAGACATTTGGGTTTACTGTACTGGTCATGGGGAAGGTACCTTTGATTGCTGGAGCTAGTGGTTGTATGTCTATGTGCCATGGAAGATTTGTGGTCTACCCTTGGTGGTGTGTGTAGCCTTGTGTTAGGGGGAGCTTGCTGTTACTTTCCTAGGCACAGGCTGATGTATCATTTGGCATCATTTTCAAAGACCCATCATTTGGGAGACTGATTCCAGAAACGCCTGTGGGTACCAGAATCCATGAATGTTCAAGTCCCTTGTAAAGAGCACATAGTGTCTGCATATAGCTAATACACTTCAGCCATTTCTGGATACTTATTGCTTCTAGTATGGTATAAATACTGTGTAGGAAATAAAGAGTAAGAGCAAACATAGTCTGTATGTGGTAAATGTGTTTGTAATATTTCTTTCAAATATTTTTGATCTGAAGTTGGTTGAATCTTGGATGCAGAATCTGCCAGGCACAGAGAGCCAACTGCATTCATGAGCTGGAAATAATTTTCTTTCTTCTTAAATTTTTTAGATGTGTGTTTACCTGTATGAATGTATATGTCTACCTTGTGTATGCAGTACTTATGGAGGCCAGAAGAGGGCATCCCCTGGAGCTAGAGTCCCATGGTGCTGGGAGCTAAACCCAGGTCCCCTGCAAGAGCAGCCAGTGCTCTTAACACTGAGCCATCTCACTAGTCCCCATTTTCTCTTTTCTTATGAGTGCTAGCTTGTGAGGTAAGTTGCCACTTAACTGTTCTTGGAAAGGGATGGATGAGTTTTTGCAGTCTAGAGCAAGAAGGTTTTCAGCATTCTGCATGTTTTACTTTTTACCTCCTCCTTCCAAGGAAACTCTAGTAAATAAGACCACGACAGGCAACGACAGAAGAACACCTCCACTGTGGGAGCACATCGGGGCAGTTCTGAGCCTCCTGGCAGCTAGTGCGTGTGGGAAAATGAGATTAGTTACCATGGTGAAAGTCCCCAGGAGGGAGAATAAAAACCATGGAGAGGGCTGGGTGTAATGGCACATGCCTATAATCCCAGAAGTCAGGTGGTGGAAGCGGGGGGATTGCAAATTCCAGACCAGCCTGGGATTGCATAGGAAGAAAAGCAGGACAAAACAAAACACAACAACCCACGCCAAAACAAACGAGCAGAAAGATGATTGACTCCTCTGCTCACTGAAGAACCATGGCAGTGTTACAAAGAGGAAGTTTTAGCCTGGGTGAGGAGAGACTTATAATAGACATAGGAGACGGTGGCCTGAGCCCACCTTCTCTGGTTCCCTGTGCAAGGCTATTGCATGTTAGGACAAGGGCTCTTCCTGGTCTCAGCTTCACTCTCCTGCTCTGTCTGGCTAGCTTCAATTCTCCAACATCCTGAACCCCTGAAGCTCTACTAGAGGGACTGGTGGGATTTGTATTCCAACTGCCAGTAGGGGACTAGAAATGCCTGTGACCTAAAGAAAACTTGATCCATTTGTCTCCCACATTAAAGATGCCGGAAGTAGACAACATAGAGCTCTGGGGGCTCCAGATTGCTACTACACCACTGTCTGTGACGTGCCACCCTCTCTGCTGGCCTTGAGTGGCTTCTTGTTGTTGGAGCTTCTGCCACTTTTGTTCTCTTTCTGAGCAGTGGGGGCAGTGTGGGAATAGGCCCCCACCCAGTGCCCACCCGAGTCTGTTCTCACTTGGTGGCCTTAGAAGTCCCTTGTAGTACTGCTTCAGAACTGAGCCACATCTGATGTTGGTGAGCAGGGAGTGTGATGTTTTCACAGGGCACAGTGTCACCTCAAATGACTTCAGGGTTCTTCTGTTACTGAGGGGGACGGGAGGTGTGGAATGGGCTTTAGTTCTGCGCCTCATGAAGATGAGCTAACTGGGCCTCTCACTTGAAACCCGACAAGTCATTCGCCTCCCCGAGTTCCCATCCCTCCCCATCTGTAGAATGGGTGGGAATATGGATTGACTGAATCTCATAGGTTTCTAAGCATTGAGATAATGCAAGGTAAATGGGCACAGAGCTTGGTACGTGATTTGTCTAGGAAGCAGTGGTCCAGTACCGTTTATAAGTGCTAATGTAGTTGTCATTAGTGACCTGCAGAAAATGCGAGAGTAAGGAGGGGGCTGAGCCGCGATACAGGGTTCCCTCTGTATGATGTATTCCCACAAGGCAGGAGTCCGACACGCCAGTCGTGTATACACCCATGGGTTTGCTCAGAGTAGGGATGACCAGGGATGATTCTCCATAGTGGTCCAGCTGTGGTCCCTCTGCTCCTATTTGACAGCGCAGCTCTTGCCTGTGTCAAGGGGTAGTTGCTGTGTGGTCTGCAGCTCCCTTTGAGATCGGAATGGCTTTTGCTCTTGGTGCATTAGTGGGCAAAGGCTGATTTGGTTCTCATTCAGCAATGATGGGGTGCAGAGGTGTGGATGCTGGGCCTAATTTCATATGCATTACTTTCCCCCAACCCAGCATGCCATTTATGGTTCTCTGGGGGAGGTCCTAAGGAGTCCCAGGCACAACCGTTACTGGCTTTTCTAAAAGGTTTGCCAATCTGGAGCTATAGCTTGGCTCTGCCTCTCTCTCCCCATTTTGTCCAGTCCCTGACTCGAGACTCCCCTGGGAACCAGAGTGGCCCTTCCTTCTATGTAGATCCTGGATGCTGTGTATAAGCAGCAGGCAGGGGAAGCCTTTCCAGACGCAGACGCTCTGGGGACTTGAGCTTCTGCCCCCAGCCTGCCCTCCAGCACCACTGTCTGCATCTAACTCCTCTAGAATTTTGTAGAATGGCTATAAAGCATGCCCTATAAGGAGATGCCGGCTTGCTGGGGCCCAGCCAGCAGCCGTGTCCCAGAAACTTGGTGTTGTGGGGCTTAGTCACACTCCAGAAGCTGCTTGGAGGCTTTGCTGATCCAGTGGAAATGAGGTGCAGTGGGAACTTTGTTCAGGTCATGAAGGGACATCTGGAAGAAGGAGACAGCACTGGAGTCTGGAGCTAGGACATACCTGTGGAGGAATTCCAGAATGCCTTTGTCGCAGAGCTGTGCCTCCATGAACCAGACCTGTAGCAACAGGGATAGGCTATCTGTGCCTTCCCTTGCTGGCTGCTTTTTTTAGTGCCCACTTCCAGGCAGGACTCAGGCTTCCTTGCCCCGTGCTGCCCAGTGAGTTAAAAGCAGAACTGGGTTTGGGTCCCAGAAGAAGGGGCTCCTCTGCATCTCATGGGCCACTGGCTAGGCAGGATTCACCCCTAGCCAGTAGCTGTGCAGTTCTGGTCAAGTGGACACAACCTTTCTAGGGCCCATTGACCAGATGGTAGCCTGAAGCTTGAGATGAGGCAAGGACAGATGGGAGGAGTGTGTGTATCTCAGCTCCACTGCCAGGAGGCGGCTCAAGAGGGCTGCAACTGTCTGTACTGGACAAGGACTTGGTAGCAGCTCATCTTCTACTAATATGACTCTGGTCTTCTGAAGCCCACCCATGGCTAATTGAAAATTTGACTTTGACCGTCTCAGGTGGGAAAGGGGTGTGATTTCCTAGTGGGGAGCAAGTCCTTGGCTTGCCACCTTCTCCCATCATTCCCGGCGTTTGAAAGATAAGTAGGAGCCAGCTTGGGCAGGGATGCTCTGGGAGTGAGCTGAAGGCCCAGGAAAAGGGCAGAAGCAGAGCCTGGCATGGGGGAGGCTGGTGGAGCACACAGTGACTGAGCTTGAGAGACTAGTGGCTTGGCTGCCTCTCAGCCCAGGCAGCAGGGCCTGGAAGATCAGCATGTGAGACTGTGGGGCACTTGAAGGGTATTCTGGACCATCACTCAGGGCGTTCTGCTGCCACGCTATCTGTGACCTCAGTGTCTTTTCTGGCCAAAGGACATGAGGACGCCTTCTCATCATATTCCAGGGAGGGGACAGTGTCTTCTTAGCTCCAATGGCCGGGACTCAGCCTTGACTGTGAGTTGGGGAGCCCCTCCAGCTGGACTGTTCATGGCCCCTTTACTTCTGAGACAGCACAAAACTGCTGTAGGGCCAAGGCCCCTCTGGAGTTGTCTGTCGGTGTGACTTTCTGACCTAGAAGGCATCTTTAAATGGCTTTCTAGAAGATCTGTAGCATCTCGTGTGACCTATCGGAGCAACATACATTTCTTCACACTCCAGAGATCCGGTGGTCGCACGTCCTTTCATCGTAGAGACAGACTTTTCACTGACGAACGTTAAACAAATCACGGCACAGACCGTGTAGTTTGTTTTCACAATGCACCTAACTTGGGCTAACTGTGGCTCTTGCCGTGGTTATTTGTTCTCTAGGTGAACACTGGCCCTGGTTCTCCCTGGCGGCTGTTGAGTGCCCACCTCTCTCTCATGTTGTGGGGGCAGGGCTGTGGCGATCACTGCGTGCTACATAACTATGATACCAACTGGTCTTGTTAAAGTAACATGTACTTCCTAGGGGACAGATAACCCGGACATCTGGGGGAACTGTAGAGCGTGAACACCGCATTGGAGTTTGCCCTTTCAGGCTCAGGGTGCCTTGTTGTCATATGCGCTGTGGGGATGTATGTGACACTTGCTTCTCTCCCCTCCGGACTATGCCACTCACATTCTAGCTTCCTCTGTCTGCCCCTGGGGTTGCCATGTTGCAAGGCCAGGCACGGCCGTGGGCGGGTGCGGGATAGATCAGTCGGTGAAAGGTGGTTGGTTTCCTGCAATCCTTCTGCCGATGGGTTCTCTCCAGGACGCACTGCCAGGCCCTTTGCTGTCCTGTGATACTCTGAGATGACCATGCCCCTGACCTAGTCTTCACCTGAGGCTGTGGGAGATGGATGGCCATATGACTGCATTACAGCAGCTGCCAAGAAGGGTGGTTTCTGCCTGGTCTGTGTCGCTCTGTTACTAAACAGGTCTCCTGCCAGGACCATGTGGCACCTGCTCTCCCATTGCTCTGCTGAACCTCAGGTCATGATCCTTTTCTCCACGAAGGCCCTTTGTCACCAAGCCTGACAAAACTGGCCTAGTGCACACCTGTTGGGCATGTAATACCTACCACAAGAGAAAGCATCGGACCAAGGCTATTGGCTCCCTGCCTACCCCACAGCTATCCACTGCCTTTGCAATGTGGGTTGCCCTGGCTCCCTCTCTGTAAAGAGATTGTGTGATCTCTTGGGTTGCGTCTTTGTGTGCCTTTCCAGAGTCCCTGACAGACACTTCAGAAAGGAGGGGTGGGACATCTCCCCATGGAACCCTCCCTCTCTGTTGCCTCAGCCTTTCATCTTGATGCTACGATCTTTCTGCAGAGCCCTGGGACCTAAGGGTGGGGAATGTGTGAGAATTCCTTGATCTGCTTGAGGCTAACTAGCCCTGTGGATGGTCTCAATAGGGTGGATTTCCAAAGATTTCAGCTAGCTTCGCCTACATGTGGTGTTTTGTGCATAACAAGTATACATTAGTGTGTGTGTGTGTTTGTGTGTGTGTGTGCGCGCACACACACATACGCACACACACAGGACATTTGGAGTTGGGCTGAACTGCAGGTTTGCATCTTGCTTCTGACCTTGACTAGCATTGTGACCTAGTGCCAGTCACTGTGTTTCACTGGCTGACTGCCAAGTTCACGCACACCTGAGTTCCTCATCCTCGCCTCCCTGTGGCCCGGTGGCTTTTGGAAGGACCAGGTGTGAATGTGCAGAGGAGGAGCAGGCACATATATACAGGCTGCAGAGTGCTCTTGGTGTGGAGGCCCGGGAGGCATTCCCCACCAGACCAGCTTTTAGCCTCACATCATCATGCTCCAAAAATGCTCGCACACAGTTTATTTAACTTTAAGTGGGGCAAATTCTGAAATGGGTTGTTTATTGTTGAAGTTGAAATTTTAATTTCTCATAAATTCCCCACAAATTGCTGTAGTACATTTATATTTATTGAATCTGTCAGGGTTGTTTGTAGTACTGAAGCCTGGGCTCCCCGTGTTTGTGGGCCGTTGCCACAGTGACACTGGGGTCTGAGGCTCTGAAGCAGAGGCCTTGCTCTCATATGGTTAGAAGGTTCTGGACTGAACTCTGGGTGGAAAGTATTGTAGCCAGCTCTGGCTGTTTGAGCTATTTAAGATGCCAGATTGTGTTTTAACTTGTCCCTCTCGTCTGTTTCCCCTTCCCTCAGGGGGTCCTTTGCCTGTCACCTCATCCTCCTCCCCAGGCCCTTGAGGGATGCAGACTCCCTAGCAGACTCCTGCTTTTCCAGAGACTGTCTCATCATGGGCGTGGGCACGGTGAGGTCCACACCTGCCACACAACTGTGGATGACCTGAGGCCTTGTCCAGTGACTCTGCCCCATTGTTACCTCACTCTGTAGTCTTTCTAATGCCTCTCCCTTTCCTTCTTCTCAGCCAGGAATGGGCTTTGCCCCTCAGCCTTGCCACGCCCAGTCCAGCCCCAGCATCTGTTAGTACTGCCCACCCTGGCCTTCTCTTCATAGAAGCTTTGGAATAGGCAACCATAGAGATACCAGTGCTGTGAAACCCTCCCTTTTCCCTCAGGCAGGTCAGGTGCAGGTCACCAGAGCTCCTTCAGCCTGAGTACCTCACCAAGCAGGCTCACGTTCTTTGCTGTACCTCCCCCGAGTGCCCAATCCCCTGCGTGCTCAGCCACCATCTGGTGATCAGGAAACCTGAGTCTGGACTTGTCCCAAGAGCCGCTGTGATCTCTCTGTGTTCAGGGGCTGCAAGAATGCCTGAGGGCCCCCAGCTTCAACAGAGGCCTCACTGGCAGCTGGGGTTGGGAGATGAGGCTGGAGCCTTGGGCCTGGAAAGGAAGAAGGACTCTTAGAGGGGAAGCGACCCGAGGGAGCCCTCTGTTTGCGTGCACCGGAGAGGGCAGAAGTTCCCGTGGCTTCTGGTGCACCTGTCCCAGGTGAAACAATGCCCAGGGAGCACACCAGAGAACCTGCCTTCCCGGAGCACACATGCCTTACAGGGGGGAGACCGGAATAGTAGTGAATGTGTGTAATGTGTGAAGATGGAGACAGGGAGAAGCCCAGCAGGGTAAGGGGCTCACTGGGGATGGGGAGTGTGTGTGACTTCGTTAACGCTGAGCACAGGCTACCTTCTGGCCCTGTGATTCTGCCTCTGGGGAAAGATTGTTTTCCAGTCCAGAGTACAGTGGATGCCGTACCCGGGGCGGACTGAGTCCCACAAATGAATCTAACAGAGGAGCTAAGCTGGGAAGTGTACTCCGTGTCCCTTCCATGTAGGTGAAATCTAACAGAGGAGCTAAGCTGGGAAGTGTACTCCGTGTCCCTTCCATGTAGGTGAAATCTAACAGAGGAGCTAAGCTGGGAAGTGTACTCCGTGTCCCTTCCATGTAGGTGAAATCTAACAGAGGAGCTAAGCTGGGAAGTGTACTCCGTGTCCCTTCCATGTAGGTGAAGGCTGTGGGCGGGCAGATCTGTGCTCTGGAGGTTAGAGAGAGGCAGGCCAGAGGTGGACCACCACGGGGGATACGGTGCTGGGAGGGAACACAAGGTAACTGCAAATATTTGTCTCTCGGTCTCCGTCCTGGGTGTCCACTTACATTACCCTCTTTCTCCCTCCCCACCTTTTAAAAGATCCCCCTCCACTTCCTTGTACTACTGGGAATTGAACCCAGAGTCCTATTCTTATCCATGTTTATACTTAAGCAAAAGGCTTTTAGAGAATAAAGGCGAGACAATCCTTGGAGACATCGTACTGTTTTCCGTAGTTTGTACTGCTGGGTTATCTGAAACAATGGTTCTCACACAGCCATGACCACCAGAACAGGGGTGCCATCCTCCCAGGGCTGCTTGCTGGGAAGGTCTCTCTGCTCCTCAGGACTCAGGCTTCCCACAGAAGCCACCCACTGGAAGCCCACAGCCTCAAGGCATCCTTGCTCTCAGCAGATGGGGACTTCTGTAGTCAGGGACTACAGCCAGTATCCCAGCCCGGTGTTGGCTTGGGAACAAATGGACAGGAATTAACAGGATGAAGGGATCCGTGTCCCAGTGACTTCTGCTTTGGGAAGCATAGGCTCTGTGTCTGGGGGTGTAGTCCCATACAGTTCCCTCTTGTGATTTTGGTCTGGCCTCCTGTTCGAAGCGGTGCTGGCAGGAGTTGAGGCTGTCCGTTTTTTTTTTTTTTTTTTTGGTTTTTCGAGACAGGGTTTCTCTGTGGCTTTGGAGGCTGTCCTGGAACTCACTCTGTAGACCAGGCTGGTCTCGAACTCACGAAGATCCACCTGCCTCTGCCTCCCGAGTGCTGGGATTAAAGGCGTGTGCCACCAACGCCCGGCTGAGGCTGTCCGTTTGATGCTGCATTCCACACAGCAGATGCTGGCGCTCATCTCTGTCAGACACTCTGAACACATAACCTGCACGTGCTGTGTTACCCTGTGCCTGGAGGAGCCTCTTTCGAGCTCAGAGGTCAGACCAGTGTACACAGGTGCTAGCTCAGGTTCGATCCCCAGGTTGGCATGCTGATGACCCACGTGGAGTAAGCTTTAGGCCGATATTTGCTGCACAGTCTGTGCCAGGGATGGATGAAGGCCAGATTGGGGGGGGGGGCGGCGGCCCAAGGATGTTAGAGTCAGGATTGGATAAATGAATTGTTGGGAACCTTCCAGAAGGTGTTTTCCTGTCCTTGACTTTCTTTCCCTTCCTACTTCATCCCTCTTCCTGTAGTCATCAGGGTGATTTTTGTTCCTTCTGGAGTTTTCTCTGGGTGGCCATGGTATTTTATCTGTTGTCTCTGAAGCCCAACTGTCCTGTCTAGACTCCAGGCAGCGTTCCAGGATCCAGACACTACCAGATTCACAAACACCTGGGAGATTGCTTTTATTTATTTATTTTTTCACTTAAAAAAATTTTTTTAAAGTATGTAGTGTTCTCTCTGCAGGCCAGAAGAGGGCACCAGATCTCGTTACAGATGGTTGTGAGCCACCATGTGGTTGCTGGGAATTGAACTCAGGACCTCTGGAAGAGCAAGCAGCCAGTGCTCTTAACCTCTGAGCCATCTCTCTAGTCCCTTTTTTCATTTTTTTAAAGGGAATATCTTTTATAGCTCAGGCTAGCTTCCAATTAGCTAAGGATGACCTTGAATTTCTGATTCTCCTATCTCTACCTCCCAAGTTTGGGGATTATAGGATCATATTATCATACCTATTTTATATGGTGCTGGAGATTGAACCTTGGACTTCCTGCATGCTAGGCAGACACTCTCTCAAGCTACATCTGCAATCTTTGACCTGACAATACAGTACATCATGCAGTTGCTATATCCCATTACCATATACAGGACTCCCCCCAACCCCCCCCACCCCCGCCAAAATTTCCCCAGAGTGGTGCATTTGTTGCAGTCAGTGAACCTTCCTGGATGCATCATTGTCATTTAGAGCCCATAGATGGCATTAGAATTCACTCCTGGTGCTGTGCCTGTGGGTGTGGCCAGTCTACAGGGATTCGTACCTGCCATCTTGGTGCTGCACAGAGCATCTCCTCTATCCTGAGAGTCCTCCATGCCTGCTTCTCTCTAAGAAGCAGAGATGGGAAGGCACCAGTAGAGTGCCGCTCTCTGGGGTGCGGTACCCTGAAGTTCTCAGGAGGTTCTGACTGCTACACAGCCAAAGAGGGGGGCATGGATTGAAACTGTGGTTCTGAGTTGAATGTGTGCCCGAATGCCCAGAGTGCACATTCAGATTATTGGCCAGCCCCACTCAGAGAGCGCATCTGCAGATGGGCAGTGCGCGCGCGCGTGTGTGTGTGTGTGTGAGAGAGAGAGAGAGAGAGAGAGAGAGAGAGAGAGAGAGAGAGAGAGAGAGAGAGAGAGAGAGAGAGAGAGAGAGAGAGAGAGGTGTCTCTGCTTCCTGTCTGAGCTGCCTTACCTGAGGACGGTTTTGAACAGCGATCAGAAAGAGACCACATTGACCGCCCCAAGTTCTTAGGCGTGGTCTCTAGAAGCTGGCTCTTTTTCAACCTGTGTTGCCTGCTTTCAGTAGGGGACCAGCAGCATTGTGGCCATGGGTTGGGAGGAGTATTGTGGCAGGGCAGACTGAGTCAGAAGGCCTGCTGAGACTTAGGCTGTCCTCTAGCCCATTGAGTCTCTCTCAGTCCATCTCTGTCCTCATTAGGGACTTCTGTCCCTCCTGCAAGGACAAACAGAACTTCTAATATAAGGGCAGTGTGGGTAGGCCTTTCCTCATAGGAGTGGAAGTCAGGAATTCACACGACCTAGGCTTTGCAGAGTGCCCAGGATCTGGCAATCCCATGGGAGAGGCAGCCTGTTCCTCAGCCAGGCCTGCCCAGGGTGCCTGGCACCAGTCACAAAAGGCCTTGAGTAGAAGCCGAGTCGGCTCCTGGGAGTCCAGCAATAAAATCAATGTAAATATAGCTAGCATTTGGGAGCACTTTATAAGGCACTTGAAAAAAAAAAAAGCCCTCTTATAAGCCCAAAGCCAGCCCTACAAGCTGTCAGGACAGTTAGTTAATCTTCCTACCTTTTGGCTGTGGAAATTTAAGTTTAGAGACATTCACTTGATTATGGATATGTTAAGGACAAGGCTGGGATTCGCCTCCCTCAGATCCCTCTTTGTTGGTATCTCCTCCCAGGATGCAGGCTCCTCCCACGTTTGTTCTGGCTACATAAGGGCTGGTGCTCTCCTGTCTGGAATATGGGAGAATTTCTTGTGACCCAGTTCCTGAAGTGGATGGCGCTGCTTCTTGACGCTTGTCTGTACAGAGAGGCATGGCAGAGTGTACCTGTGGGGGTGCGGGTTCTGGGTGCCACTTGACTTTGCGGCGGGTCAACCAGCTGAGGAGTCTGCAGGCTTGAGCATTCTCTGGGGTCACTGGATTAGGGGTATTATGGGGAGGGGACAGTATCGTTTTCAGCCTTGACTCTTATCAGGCACACTGGGGATCCTGGAGGAGGCACCTGCTCTTGGGGGCATTTCAACCCTTGTTTATTTACAACAGATTGTCTTCTGATCTGTCTGTGTCTGTGGAGTATCCTGTCAAGAAGGACATGCAGTCAGAGAGCATGGGACCCTCTGGTGTGGAGGTGGGATCTTGGATTCATGGGTTCTCTCTGCAGGAGAGGTCCCTGTGTGTGCAGAGCGCTGGGTTCTCTCTGCAGGAGATGGGAGGTCCCAGTGTGTGCAGAGTGCTGGGACCCTGCCTGGTGTCAGACCCCAGAGGGTGATGTCACTGCTGTGTGACTGGTTCATCGCCTATTTCCTTGGGCAGTGTGACAAGACAGCTGCCTCACCCTCTTCTGCCAGGCGTTTCCACTTTGGTGAGGAGACCAGATGTCTTGGGTGAACTTGGAGTCCCCTTCAGTACCTTCTGGACACTTTCATCAAAGTGTTCTACCTTGATCTCCCACACAGGTCCTCCTGAGGGGGCAGCAGGACTCTTCTCTTGTCCTTTTTGGTAACAGGGTTCTCCAGATGGCCCTGTCCTCCTCTAGCTGAGCTTAGCCTCCTACACTGTGACCTTTCTGACTGGATGAAGGGACTAAGCAGCTTGCAGGAGCCCAGGTAGGCACTCAGAGTGTACTTGAACGCATTGGGAGGCCTCTTGTCACCCTGCAGTGCTGGCCTCTCCTGAGAGTTGCTTGCCTAGGGGCCGTTGGAGAATTGTTTGGAGTGTGTGGTGTGTTGCTTAATTGCTATTATGTGACCTTGGGGTCAGTGTGTACAAGATAGTAGTAGGTACTTTAGTGTGTGTGCCTTGGGAGAGGGAGGAGCTGCCCACCATCCCACCCCCAGCATGCTTGGATGTGGTAGAGAGCAGAATCACCTCACATCTCTGTTTTATGGTCTGGCATAGGTGGTAGGCCAGTATAACCACTGGGCTTTCTTTAGAGCGCTCCAGCCTGCAGCCCATCCTCCTCTGCAAACTCTCCACCAGCCCTGGCTTGATTCTATTTAAGGCAGGGAGCGTACTTCCTCCAGCCTGCTGCCCCTGGCCTTTGCTTTGTCCTGCCAAGCATTCCTCACAAAGACCTTTTGGGACTGGGTGAAGCAGCTGGGAGCTGCCTTCTGGGGAGGGGGTTTGTCTGGAGGCCTACTACTCTTTGAAAACCTCATATATTTGGGGGTGCCTGGGCTTGGAGGGGCTTGAGCCCAACAACTCCAGAATCTTGTTATCCCTATTTGCATGCTGTACTCAACCCACCTTGGCACACCGCCTCCTTCTCCAGATGCGGGCATGGAGTATACCAACTCCCCTGCGCCAGCCTCGAGTGCTGTCTGCAAATTCCGTGGGCTCCCGGAACTCACCATAGTACCTAGCAGAGGACCTGGCACAGGAGAGGTATTGGGAAAAGGTTCTTGTGAACTTGTTTACTTTACCCTAGGGCCAACTTAGAAGCTGCAGAGTTATTTTTAAGAGGGCTTCAAGGGGCTTGTGATGCTCTAACTCTTTTTTGCTTGCTTGCTTTTCCAGTGAGTGATGGAGCCCGGGCCTTCCTTGCACATGCAAAGCAAATGGTCTGATCTTCACTTCACATCTTCTTGCAAAAAGTTGAGACAGGCTCTCATTAACTCACTCTGTAGCTCAGGCAGGCCTTGAACGCATGACCCTCCTCCTCAGTGCCTTGCATAGATGGGATGACCGAGCCTGGTGACTTTGTCTGTAGACTTTGCTTCCCAGCCTGTGTTCACTCTTATCTTCCATTGTCTCTGTTTGTCTGGGTGGCCTTGGC